TATTTTCTCTTGAAACTTTTTATTAACCAGAAATTGTCACAACATTAAACTTATGAAACATCCATGAGTAATGAAAGCTATTAATTGTAAAACAATTAGTTAAAGAGGCAACAAGGTCTGTGAAGAAGAGAAAATTCAAATTTTTAAAAACTTTTTCTGAGCTATCAGGGCAACATTTGGCTTAACATCTTCTTTGACATACCTATTTTCTTAAAATGAATGGATAAACTATCAATTTCAGCATCAAGAAGTATAAATTCAGTTCAAAGCTTATAGATTTTTAAGATCCATCAAATTTCAAGAGGAATATCAGCTGAAATTATGTTCATCTAGGGGGTTTCTTTGGAGAAAATAAAAACATATGTTAGTCGATGAAATATCCAAACTTGAATATATTCTGTCACTGGTCCATGATCGTTTGAATGACCCCTCTGCACTTATTGTTGCACCTTTAAATAAATGAAAAGTGACAAATTGTAGAAACACATAAAAGAAAAGTTGATTTTATATTCAACTCCAAATGGCATGTTTGATATATCTTGGTTTGATTGCAACATTTTTATGTCAACATATTGTTAGGGTCTCCCACTTTTGTTGTGGATTGTCGGCATTCGGTGGTTGGTATTCAGCATTCAGTGTTTGGTGTCTGTAACAAATTGCAGGTGGTGAGATTTTGCAATAATGTTGTGAAGTACATTTAAAAATATGAACTGCATATTATCCATTTCTTAAACATAGTACAAAATAGATGGAGTAAAATGACAATCTGATCTGGTGAAGGTGCAGCAATCTGTTAAAATCTGGAAAAGTCTTTGAGGGAGACATGGAGGCATTATCCACTGTCACTTTATATGGCATATCATTGGTCAGGATTATAGCTCACATGGTGAGCTATTTGCAATCATTTAGGATTTTTTATACTACTAGCTCAATAATAATAGAACGGTTTGCAGTATGGCAGTGGTTTTGAAAATACAAAAGCACCGAAGCAGTTCAATATATCAGTTACTTTTTAACATGACTGCGATTATAAATGTTTCCCTTTTTGGCATTTGTGTTTACATGTTTAATAGTTAGTCAAGTTGGTCTCACAAATCTCGATGAAGTCAACATTTATTTTCTTACAAAATATATTTATTGGTAAAATATTTAATTTGATAAAGTATTGATGAGAAAGAATAAATGGTAACTTACAGGAAACAAAACTAGCACATTAACAACAAGTTTACTAATATAATATAGTATACTGATTTTATCTCAATAAAAGTGATCCTATAATATTGTAAAAAATCTCAACTGTCAGGGGTTTCACTAGAATTTCTCACAACAGGCTAAACAAATGAAAACAACGGGCAAAATTAATGGAAATCATAAATTCAACATGGAAAAGTTGAAAAGTACCTAAAAACAACAGGCGATTTTGTGAAAACAACAGGTGAAAATCTCCTGTTGCCTGCTGCTAATGAAACCCTTGACTGTGTAGAAGTAGCAATTGCACATTTTGATACTCATTCCATCATCTTTCTGTTTCACGAGACACATTACTGAGAAGAAATGTGATATCATAGCTTGCTTATCATTATGGCTATTGCAAATAAATGTAAAAGGCAACCAAACCTATTAAGTTAATGTGAAATAGAATCTAGCAATTGTGAAGTAAAGCAATTAATTTTACGTTACCACTTGTACATGTATGTTATAAATAATTTACAAATTCTGTCTATTCACAAAGGTATAATTCAAAGGCAAAATACGGCTTTGTATAAAAAACCTCCTACCTCATACCCATCTACCTACCTACGTGGAACATGATACAGTCATTGAAGGGTTCAATTTTAAAGATTATTAAATCTCAAAATAGCTCAAATTATTAACATTTCTATACCGGCTTTATTTTATGACTAGACAAATGACAGATCCATAAATAAAGGCATATGGATGCATTTTAATGTGTAATGACCCGAAGGCACCCCAGGGGAATAAATAACTAACGACCGCGAGCATAGATCCAACAAGCCAGATAAAGAAATTAAAAGAAAGTGTGCTAAATTTGATGCCCCGAGTGGGAATCGAACCCAGCTGGGATGTACATGTAGAAGCAACTTGCTATCAAGGGTCCTTACAAATGCATCTATAATTCATCATAAACTAAGATTTGATAAACGAAGATCTTTAAAACTGAACCCTTCAAAGACTGTATCATGTCCCACGTACGTGGGTAGGTGGGTATGAGGTAAGAGGTTTTTTATACAAAGCCGCTAAATACTCAGCTTCATTAAATCTAATAAATCAGTGATTCGTATGGTTTTAACTTCTACTTATTATCCCATCGAACGAAGTTCGGAGGGATATAGGGAACACCTCCATCCGTACATCCATCTGTCCACGCAATAACTCCGTTGGCCTGATTTTGTTCATATTTTGTACACATATGCTCTATGGGGGTAGAAGTTCTGCTCGAAAGCCAATTTTCAAAATGGCCACTCATTTCAAAATGGTGGCCATTTTAGTGACGATTTTATAGTAATTTAGGTACAATATGTGAAACTGTAATAGCAATATGTTTTAGATATAAAAGATTATATAGGACATTAATAAAGCTAGAAATATAGATATTAAAGGATATGGCAGCCATCTTGAAAAATGGCGGCCTTTCTACACTGTTTTGCGATATTTGCTGTAACTTGAGAAGTAGTGGAGCGATTTTGTTCATATTTGGTACGTGAATACTATAAGCATGGCACACTGTCTAATGACACTTTTTACGTTTTTTAACTCGAAAAGTAGTAGAGGGATTTTGTTCATATTTGAGATTTGAATAGCATGCCACACTGTCTAATGACACTTTGGGTAGTAGGCGGCCATTTTGAAATATGGCCACCGTTTTATGTTTTTTACTATAACTCGAAAAGTAGTAGAGCTATTTTGTTCATATTTGATATGTGAATACTATAAGCATGGCACACTGTCTAATGACACTTTGGGGAGTAGGCGGCCATTTTGAAAAATGGCCACCATTTTTACGTGTGTTATTTTACTTTTTTACTAAAATTCAAAAAGTAATAGAGCGATTTTGTTCATATTTGATATCTGAATACTAATAAGCATGGCACAGTGTCTTATGACATTTTGGCAAGTAGGCGGCCATTTTGAAAAATGGCCTCCATTTACATGTAGGTGTGTGCGATTTTGTTCAAATTTTTTATGTGCTTACTTAGAAGCATATTACACTTACTGATGACAATTTAGCCAGGGAGCAACCATTTTGAAAACTGTGGCCATTTATTATAATGCTATTTTTACTATATACTTCGTTTCTAAAAATCCCAGCCATGGCTGTTCGATGGGATTTGATACGCTTTGGCGTTGCTGTTGTCTAGTTAAATTTAAGGAAATACTTATAAATTGTCATATTCACACTATGGAATCATTATAATATGTCTGGAATGTTTAAAAGTAATTTGATTGGTACACTTTATCTAATGATGCACTCCCAGGGGATACACCATTGCAGTAAAACAAAAACAGTGATTATAAACTTCGCTAGTGATGGAATCACCATTTACCCTGATTTCCATTGCAAAAGGCCTGGCTAATAGCTATAACCTTCGTGGCTAATAATGCTAAAAGCACAGCCACTTACACTGTATTATTGTATTGTATTCTTTGTACAAATGAATAACTTAATAAAAAATAAATAAAAAATAACTTTCACCCTAAATAAGCATAATGTTTTTAATTTAATATGTAACTTACCGTAACTCACAAGACTTGGACATCAACATTTCTGAAGTTATTGATGCCTGAAAAAATTGTTCGTGTAGAAATAGAATTAATCAGGTAGCATTTTACATGCATATTAAGTAAATATTTATATGACTCAAGTTTAAGTTTTTTACAAAATAGAAATTCCCATGTAGACCTTTTAACTTTGAAATATCCTATTTAGTTGTAAAAAATTTACAAAGTGCATTATTATACAATATAAATAAAATTTATTGTACTGTGAAATATACATTTTTCATTCTGAATAACTAAGTAAATATATAGACACATTAGAGAAGTTTCGCACATTTTTAGCTCAATGTATCTAAACGCATTCACCAGATGTGTAGCAGCTCAATTAAAATGAGATGAGGTTGTAGATTTAGGTTTTAGCTTTAACATATTGTGCAAAACCTCTATATGAGATTAATACTTTTTCATTAATCTAGAAAATAAGCTTTACCCAACTCTAGACCTTTTTAATGACTCTTTTATAAGGTCTCCTATTTAGCCAGAAATACAAATTATTGTTTTCAATTTGCTAATGGTGAAAACAGAAACCAGTAGCTTACCAATTCGATTTTTAATATGAAAACTTCATACCCTGGTAATCCACATCCTCCGATCACAGGGCTTCAAAATCCAGAATATATTATTTCTTTTACCCCCTGCGATAAGCAGTTAGCCTTTCCCCGATTAAGAACTCGCAATCTGATTGGCTGTCGCAGCACTGCGACAGAAATCACGTATAAGTCATTGCGCATAATAAGATCACATGATTCAGTTTAATCGGGCACTTCCAAATTGGTTATAGCAGGGGGAAGAAGGAGGTACGGATTCTGGATACCTGCTTAGGAGGATGTGTAATCTAAAAATCATATTGTTAAGTGTTATTTTCCGAAAGTGAAAAAGTCTCTTTGGGAAAATAGTGCTGAAAAGATTTTTAATGTTTATCAAAATATCATTTTTGCGCTTACTTGTATGATAATGTTGTTCTCTTTTATGGTTCTAAACATTTGATGTATTAGTATTGTTACCATCTGAGATTCCAACACTATTGTCTTTTCTACACAAACACCTAGACAGATTTCTGCCACATGATGTGTCAGATATCATAGACAAGATTTCCTTTCTAAAACTTGGTCCACCTATGCAATACAATAGAAAGTTGATGCCATGATTAGTATGGTAAAACATGTTACATATAGCCCAATGTGTGTGGTATGTTTCATAGTCTGGGTCTAAATGATTGTTACGATTGGGGTACCATTTGTCCTTAAACGACATTAGCAACACAATTGGTAGTGTACATCCAATGAAAGTAAAGTTACAAAGTAACAATGTCAAAGTCATAGATGTAAGCTTCTTTTTTGCGCCTATTCCCATTTTGTTTCGCAGTATCAGTTTTCCAATGATAGCGAAGTTTGAAATGATCATGATGGTAAATGGTAGATATGTTGCTATGATACCATCAACCCAGACCCATTGTTGGCTCCAGAAATGTTGATATTGTCCGGTAAAAGTGCACTTCTCATCATCAATGTCATATATCCAGAGTATGTTCAAGTTAAGGCATATAATCCCTAGTATCAATACAAGCAATGAAATGAATGATACTTTTATTTCACATAACGATTTTGCCTTAAGTGGGATAAACACTGCTATGATCCGTTCTATAGTTACCGTAACAAGAATCCAAGCTGATAAATGTACACAAACATACAGAAGAAATGTAAGAATTTTGCACCCAGATGATGTACCATAAGGCTGAATATCAGTGTTTATATAATTCAGCCAGTGTGGAACGAGTCCCATCCATAAAGCCCCCATATCAACGCATGCTAAGGCTATGAGGTACACAGATGTTGTCCGAGATCTCATCTTCTTTCGGCCAAGAACACAAAGGCTTAAAGCATTTCCAAATGTACCAAATACAATGATCAATGGTGACCAGTAGTTCCAGATTTTCCTTTGAGTTTCAGTTGTTCCAATTGTTTTATAGGTTTTATAGTTGGATGTATTTGTCTCAGGTCTTTGGCCAGTATCGTTAGACGTCAAATTGTCATCTGATTCAGGAATCAAAATAATTTGTGGTGGTTCTACCCTTGATACTTCTACCCTTGAGCTTTTTAATTTCGGCCTATTAATCTCTATACTTATATTTATTGGCGTGTCTGTCAAACCTAAAGTAACATTGCCATTTTCAATCGAGGTTGTAACATTTGTTATAAATACGGAAAGCATCATCATTGTAGTGTTTTGTGTTAGCATATTTTGAGTTACATTCTCCATCTTATGTTCTATTACCAACTTTATGCTTCACGCGACTTATTAATAGGCCTTTACTAGAGTTTGAATCCTGCATGTATGCTATAACTGTTGTGGCTGGAATCATTTGTGTTTGATTCTGAATTGTCTATTTTAATTGCCTAACATATTGATATGAGCATTATGTATAATTTATTTTCACTAAGCATCATGATTGGATGGCAGCCTTTTGCAAGACACCTGTGGGATGTTTTTCACAAGACACGTGTGGGATGTTCTCCGATTCTATCATGAATCTAAGTCTCATATCTAGTATTTCACATCATGATTGGAAGAACATGTTGTGTTTTGGCATTACTTGATTAATTTTTTAATGTTCTCTGGGGATTGGTTCTCAACTTCATGATATTTACTTGACGGTTTGAGTTAAAATGTATTATGTTTGAATACCAGTTGTAATTAGATGCTGGAAAAAACAATTGGGAGTAGACAGTTTTCTCCGGGGGTTAATTAATCAGTATAACATGTTTACGCCCAAGTTCTCGTAAAAACATGTAGCTTAACCACTCTAGTATCTTTAGCATTTATGCTGGGTAAAATATGATTTGAGGCTGAAAATTCAACATAAGATAGAAGAGGGGGAAAAACCCAGAGTTCAAAGAAGAAATATGCCTTTAATGTTAATCTGTATTGAGAAGCCATTGATACTGATTGGTCAAATAAACAGACAAATGACGTCATTAAATGGTGATTTCAAAATTTTCTAAAAACGCTTTGAATGATATTGTGTTAGTTTGTGGTGTTAATCAATACGGCACCATCAATACCATAGCTCGTTAATTCAGATCACAATAAAGAAAGATGTAGGGAATATCCTTACATCAATTAAAACATTAAAATGACATGTTGGATTTGGAAACTAGCCAGTGAGAATTAGGACAAACGAAGTTGGAAAGCAAGAGACGTAATTATATCTGTCATCTGTAAGGTATGGGGTTTTCCCTCCTCTTATAAAATGCCTGTGTTATCACATTGTTGCCCCAGTAACAAATGTTATATTATATATGTGTATATGACAATGACTGGCTATCAATAACAATAATCTCCTCCAAATCATATGATCCATTTAATCCTAAAATAAACTATAAAAATGCTCATAAATTCACCATTTGACCATTAAGCCCATATCCTCCATTATCCATTGGTGTTGGAATGTGTGAGTCGTAAACATTGCAATGGTGTAGTATCATATACGCATAAAACGCCATGGAGCACTCTCAAAATTTAGAGAAAATTGATTATTTATATTGAATTCCCACACACTTTGAAAATTGATAAAAAAGGACAATAATTTATATTTTATTAGTTATTAGTCTGAATTTCGTATTTTAAAACACACCCGCTCACTCGTGGTATACACTCACAAAATACCCACGCTATGCCACTGATTGATACTGGAGACCTTTATTGCCACATGATATCTAGAATATTTGTCTTCAAATATTCAGCATTGATATATAATTAAATGAATATCACTTATGAAAAAATGAATACACTAGATGCAAGTAGAAATAATCTTGATTTATGTCATTAAAATTCAAAATTTGGTTTAAGTGATATTATTTTTGAAATTTACATGTAAAATTACATCAAGAAGTGTGGTTTTAAAAAGTGTTTATTGACTTTGAAAAGAGAGATTCCCAATGGACCCCAAGATATAAAAATCACAAAAAGTGAAATATCATTTCTTATAATACGAAAATATGAAAATTGAAACGCGAAATGATGAATATTTGAGTTTAAGGGAACTTTATAATACCCTGCCATGTTAACTGTCCCGTATTAGCCAGCTGGTGGTGAAACTGTTTACTACCTACTCGCATCTGGATTATTGATCAACATGAAGGAAATGTAAAAACAATGCATTACTTATTGGTCACACCTTGTATAGACACTAATTTGTTCAGTTGTAATAAATGTATACTTTCAATTGTTGAAGCCATGTATATAAATATTGTGGCTTTGTGAACATGAATAAAACAGGAATAATAGGATGCCATTTTCCTTTTGACATTTGTAGTTAAGGGAACTTTAAAATACCCTGCCATGTTAACTGTCCCGTATTAGCCAGCTGGTGGTGAAACTGTTTACTACCTACTCGCATCTGGATTATTAATCAACATGAAGGAAATGTAAAAACAATGCATTACTTATTGGTCACACCTTGTATAGACACTAATTTGTTCAGTTGTAATAAATGTATACTTTCAATTGTTGAAGCCATGTATATAAATATTGTGGCTTTGTGAACATGAATAAAACAGGAATAATAGGATGCCATTTTCCTTTTGACATTTGTAGTTTAAGCTGTTCTGAATAATAATAATATAACAGTTGGATAAATATAATGCAGTTCATCTTAGATATTTTTCTGGCATATTTTGCCATGTGATTACTAGGTGGAATAGAGAAGTATGACATTTTGCACCTTTAGGTACCATTGCCACAAACATGATTGGTGAATGTGTAACTCTGGGTGGTAATGATTCCAAAATGAAAAATTTGAAAGCAATTCTATTCAGGCCCCTAGCCAGATTTTTTGCCAAGGGGAAATTTAATTTTCTTACATTTAACAACTTTACCCCAAAATCACTTGAAAGGAGCTCAGAATGGTGAAAAACTGTGTGATTTTGAAAGAATTCTTGGCTCCTACAGGATAATATAGGAGACGCACTGTGCATTTGTTAGAGTGAATATGGTACATGTAATTGTTTGTGGCTCATACATAATACACTATATAATGAGATTGGTTTGGCAGTCTGACTATGAACAATGCGGGTACTAATTAGAATTGCCATTCCGATTATGTTCTATCTACATCTAATCACTTAACAATTACATACAGATGCCAGAATTATGCAGGCACAAATTGAAGTTATGCAGGCACAAATTGAAGTTACGCAGCAAGAAACACCAAATTATGTGGGGTGTAATGCGAATTATGCAATTGAGTTATGGCAAAAACATTTTCTGGTCAGTCTGCTTTATCTATGATTACATTACATGTAGTATTAGATTTACAAGCTTAAAGAGAGAACAAGATCTAGCGAGCAGGCCAACAAAAAAATGTTTCAATTTTAGAATATTTCTGTCTCATGTCATTACTTGTCATGTCTGTTTTCTAAAAATCCCCTAAGTGCATACTTTATTTCAGGAAAACTAAGTAATTTGGAAGAATTTAAACATTTTCACCCATTTTTGCACTTTGAATCCATAATAACTTCACCAATTTATATCATATCATGAATCTTTTTGGAGATATTGTATTTGAGATTGTAAGGAATAGATTGGTAGGTCAATTGTACATGTACACGTTGCTTGTAATTTTGTCACTCCTACAGATCTGATTCTGCCTTTTAGAACCAGTCTGAAAAATTGACAAAATTCAGTTTCAGATTCTATTTTGCCAGTACATGTGGTCAGATGGGGTTGGCACTATCACCAAATTTTGCTTAACTCTCCATTTCGAGTTTGAGCAGTAATAGGAACAATACTTTTTTGTAAATGTAAATTATGCAAACATATCTGCAGATGAATGAATTATGCGGCATTTCTAGAAATTCAGAATTATCCAAAATTAAAAACGTGCTATATAGTATAATTTGGAAGATATCAAATTGTGGTGACCAAGGTTAGGCTGAAAACAATGGATAGAATGAGTTTTTACTCTGGGAAAATAAAATGAAATAATAAGTTACTTTCAACTATATTAAATTTCAATGGTGTTCCCCTTTCAGAATTCATTTACATGAAAACATACTTTTCATGTGGTAAAAATAAGTAAAGGAAGGTAAAGGTACTCTTTTTGAGAAAATAAGTCTGACATTTTTTATAGTTGTGTTCTTGAATGCTATTTTTATTATCCCATCGATCGCCCACTCATCAGATATACGATGTCACAAATTTAGAGAGTAAATACTGAGCCAGGGGACTTTACTATAAACCCTCATAATCTACTAAGTATAGAATAAATCAGTTATTAAATGCTCGATTTTTGATACAAGGTATATCCCTTGGTATTACATACCCAGCGAAGCATTTGTATTGAAGTCAATGGAGCTGAAGGTCGGCTATATATTCCTGTATAGCCGCCAAACCTTTTACCATGACAATCTTATGACGTCATCGGGACGTCATGTTTCATTTCTTCCTAATTTCACTCGCACACAGACAAAACGTTTATGTAATATTTGTGGTATTTTAGAAGATGAACAACACTTCATCATGATTTGTAAGAAAAACACTACAGAAAGAAAAATTTTGTTTGACACCCTTACACGATTTAATTTTGTAGGCAGTCCTGACATTATTTTTAAAAAACTAATGTCTCACAAAAATTCTTATGTAATTTTACATTTAGCAAAGTTCATCTATCATTCACTCAAAAAATTTGATTAATGTGTCAACGATGCATCACACTGATATTTAAATTTCTGTCAAGTTATATTTGTATTTTACAATTATCTTGTATTCTGTATTTTACATTTGATGATGTAATTAGAATTGTATTTGACAACAACTTTATTTTTGTATTCAATAGTTAGTTTAGTCTTAGGTCAGTTTTGTAGATTGTAGTATTTAGTGACTAATATGTCATTGTAATGACATCAGAGAGTCAATAAAAGATATATATACACGTGGCGTCATTGATATAACGTAGCCATGATATAAAAGTATGTAATACAATAGTCATGTCCGTATCATTGAATATATGCCTTCGGTCTGTCGTAATATAACCCTCGCAAGCTCGGGCTATATTGGTGACAGACCTTAGGCATATATTCAATGATAGGGACATAACTGCTAAGTAAATACAATATATCAACCCTTGGTCCCTACGGTCCCTCGGGTTGATATATTGTGTTTCCCTCAGATATACCCTGTATCAAATACCTCCCATTAAATAACCTCTATATAATAGCAATATGTTGTAAATGTAAAAAGGTTATATAGGACATTAATAAAGCTAGAACTTTAGATATTTAAGAAGCACGTGGCAGCCATCATTAAATATGGCAGCCTCTCCACCTGATTTTATGATTTTTTCTGTAACTTGAAAAATATTGGAAGAGATTTTGTTCATATTTGGTATGTGAATAATATAAGCATGACACAATGCCTAATGACACTTTGGGTAGTAGGTGGCTATTTACATATGTGTGTGCAATTTTGTTGAAATTTTATATGTGCCTACTGAAAATGCATATTACACTTTCTGATGACAATTTGGCTAGTGAGCAACCATATTTTGAAAATGGCGGTTCTTCTTATGTGTGTTATTATGTGTGATATATGCAATATATTCCGTTTGTAAAAAGGACAGCCACAACTGTTCGATGTAATTTGCTATGCCTTGGCGTTGCTGTTGTCTAGTAATTCTGATAAAACATGTTGTTTCACTGAAAAATGTTGTTAGCTCACATGGTGAGATATTGCAATCGCTCACTTGTCCGTCTGTCTGTCCGTCCGTCTGTCTGTCTGTCCGTCCGTCTGTCCGTCAACAATAGTGGCACATTTTAAAACCTCTGTCGATAGGATTCCTGTTTGAAGTTATTTCTGTTCAACATCAATACAGAAACCCCCCCTATGACTCCTGGTTCAAAAGCTCGCCTATTTTCAAAATGGCCGTCACTTTTGTCTCGCGAAATTCACTTTTGGCTCATTTCCTAGCTTTACAAATAATTTCAGGTGTCCTACATTGTAAAAATCCATGTCAATGTAAAGATTAGATATATGAAATAATTTTGTTACAAAAAATCAGCGAAAAATTGTATCCATTTTTTTATTTTCAGCCATTTTAGTTAACATTGATTTGTCTATCTGACTCGCAAAATCCACTTTCTGTCAATAACAGTGGCACGTTTTAAAACCTCTGTCGATAGGATTCTTGTTTTAAGTTATTTCTGTTCAACATGAATTCAGAAAACTCCCCTATGACTCCTGGTTCAAAAGCTGGCCTATTTTCAAAATGGCCGCCATTTTTGTCTCGCGAAATTCACTTTTGACCCATTTCCTAGCTTTACATATAATTTCAAGTGTCCTACATTGTAGAAATCCATTGCAAAGTAAAGAGTAGATGTATGAAATAATTTTGTTACGAAAAATCAGCGAAAAATTATATCCATTTATTTATTTTCAGCCATTTTAGTTAACATTGATTTGTCCATCTGTCTCGCAAAATTCACTTTTGGACCATTTACCTTAAACCTTCTGTCGATAGGATTCCCATTTTAAGTTATTTTTGTTCAACATCAATACAAAAAACTCTCCTATGACTCTTGGTTCAAAAGCTCGGCTATTTTCAAAATGGCCGTCACTTTTGTCTCGCAAAATTCACTTTTGACCCATTTCCTAGCTTTACAAATAATTTCAGGTGTCCTACATTGTAAAAATCCATGTCAATGTAAAGATTAGATATATAAAATAATTTTGTTACAAAAAATCAGCGAAAAATTGTATCCATTTTCTTATTTTCAGCCATTTTATAGTTAACATTGATTTGTCTATCTGACTCGCGAAATCCACTTTCTGTCAATAACAGCGGCACGTTTTAAAGCCTCTGTCGATAGGATTCCTGTTTTAAGTTATTTCTGTTCAACATGAATTCAGAAAACTCCCCTATGACTCCTGGTTCAAAAGCTCGCCTATTTTCAAAATGGCCGCCATTTTTGTCTCGCAAAATTCACTTTTGACCCATTTCCTTGCTTTACATATAATTACAAGTGTCCTACATTGTAGAAATCCATTGCAAAGTAAAGAGTAGATGTATGAAATAATTTTGTTACGAAAAATCAGCGAAATATTATATCCATTTATTTATTTTCAGCCATTTTAGTTAACATTGATTTGTCCATCTGTCTCGCAAAATTCACTTTTGGACCATTTACCTTAAACCCTCTGTCGATAGGATTCCCATTTTAAGTTATTTTTGTTCAACATCAATACAAAAAACTCTCCTATGACTCTTGGTTCAAAAGCTCGGCTATTTTCAAAATGGCCGTCACTTTTGTCTCGCAAAATTCACTTTTTACCCATTTCCTAGCTTTACAAATAATTTCAGGGGTCCTACATTGTAAAAATCCATGTCAATGTAAAGATTAGATAAATAAAATAATTTTGTTACAAAAAATCAGCGAAAAATTGTATCCATTTTTTTATTTTCAGCCATTTTAGTTAACATTGATTTGTCTATCTGACTCGCGAAATCCACTTTCTGTCAATAACAGTGGCACGTTTTAAAACCTCTGTCGACAGGATTCCTGTTTTTTAAGTTATTTCTGTTCAACATGAATTCAGAAAACTCCCCTATGACTCCTGGTTCAAAAGCTCGCCTATTTTCAAAATGGCCGCCATTTTTGTCTCGCGAAATTCACTTTGACCCATTTCCTAGCTTTACATATAATTTCAAGTGTCCTACATTGTAGAAATCCATTGCAAAGTAAAGAGTAGATGTATGAAATAATTTTGTTACGAAAAATCAGCGAAAAATTATATCCATTTATTTATTTTCAGCCATTTTAGTTAACATTGATTTGTCCATCTGTCTCGCAAATTTCACTTTTGGACCATTTACCTTAAACCCTCTGTCGATAGGATTCCCATTTTAAGTTATTTTTGTTCAACATCAATACAAAAAATGATGGTAACCTGGAAAGGTGATAGATGTGATATTATTTCCAAATATCTCGGAGTATGCTGGTGACACATTTTACAGCCTCTGTCAATAGGATTCCCATTCGTTATTATATCACAACTAAAAGTGGTGACATATTATTATAGTCTCCAACTTTCTTTTTTGTGGACAGTGTGTGCGGTTGGTGTTCCGTAGTTGACATCTATAACAAATGGCAGGTGGTTATATTTTGCATGTAATGCTTTGTGTTTATTTACCATCAAAACAGGAGTCTTCATTCAAATGCTTGTCATTTTGCAAAATTGCCACCTTTTTTGTTGTACAAATTTCATTTTTGCCCTACACCATGTGAGCCAAGTACCCACGGTACTAATTTTGCACTTAGCATACCTGGAGCTGCTCTCCTAATTAATTAGAAACTGCACCTGGTTTCTACTGACAAATTGAAACATTATACCATTATAATCTGTCTTAAAGTCGTGAGCATTGACTTTGGAAATCATGAAGAATATGATCATGTTTGGTTCATGTTTCTTTTATACTTATAAATAGTAATGATTTAGATCAATGACAACATGATTATAGTCTTTATTTCAAAATCATGACATTATTATGGGTTTTAAAACATCTCAATTCAAATTACTTCAGAATTTTATATTTCTTGGAATCGCTACCAAAATATGTTGTATTTATCCAAACAAAAGTTGCTTATCCTCATCATTTCATACATTTTCTTCTTACTGTAATTGTAAAATTGTAATATTTTATTGTTGGATGTGTTTGGCCCTAGAGCATCAGTATCAATTAAATATATCAAAATGTTCCTGTAAATGTTAGTACTGTACTGTTAAGTACAATTTCTTCAATTGAGTTTATCTGCCCAAGTTACAAACAAGCAGATATAAGCCAATTTTAAGATTTTATTTCTTTTTAGAAAATACAGTCACTAATAGACACTTTAACAAACATTGTCAAACAATATTATTGGAGTACATGTATTTCAAAAGATCATGATATTTCAAAAGGAATTATAAGGAAAAAGATTTTGTAACCAAATTTCAGTTGGCTCCTTATTTCATTTTATCACACTAAGATGTATTACAGTATTACCAGTTTATCTAAAACTGTCCAGATATATTTTCTGTGTTTAATAACAAGTCTTATGACATGTTATAAACAACTGATCGTGATCTGTATCATGATATTATGCATTACAGAAAAATTAACAGAAAAATTACATTATCTTTATTACATTTTGTAGTCATATTAGATTATTTATTATATGTTTATATCAGCAAGTGCATTGCTTGATTAGACTAACATAATTATTTTTAAATCTTATATAGCATGGTATACATGGGATGTACTATTAATACTCAGAGTTAGTAGAAATTATTTAAAGGGGGCATTTTTATAGGCTCACCCTGTGAAGGAATAAATTATACATTTGAATCATTTGTATTCTGTCCATCTGATATTCCAACAGTATTGGTCTTTCTACAAATATGGCTACATTTTATTACAAATGAAAAATCAGAAACCATGTTCTTGATTTCTCGTCTAAAAACTGGCCCAGCTATGCAGTACAACAGAAAGTTAATAGCATGATTGATGTAATAAAACATGTTACTTATAGCCCAGTGTTTGCTATATGAAACAAAGTCAGGACTGTGTATATTCTTTCTCTCTGGATACCACTGATTTTTGAAAATCATCAGTAAAACGATTGGTAATGTGCACAGTATGAACATAAAGTTACAAAGGACTAAAGTCACAGTCATAGCTGTTGTTTTTAAATTGTTCCCAATTCCTTTTGCATTTCTCAATACTAACCTCGCTATAATTGCCATATTTGAAATAAACATGATTATAAATGGCAAATATGAAGCAATAGTTGCGTCAATCCAAACCCAGTATTTGTTGTACAAGTCTTTGAAATCCGTTGATTGCTCACATACAATATCTATTGTCCCTTTTCCAACGTTGTTTTTGTAGATGCCATATGTCCAGAATATATGTAGATTTAATCCAATGATTGTAATCGAGAGCACCACGAGTGTCGCGATTGTTGTTTTCATTTGGCAAAGGATATTTACTTTGAGTGGTACAAAAACAGCCACAAATCGTTCAAATGTAACACATACCAAAATCCACGGTGATAAGTGTGCAAAAACATAGACCAAAAATGTCAGAGTCTTACATATAGTTGTATGGTAAATCAGTATGTTTTTACCAAATGCATTTTGCAACCAAGATGTAAAAAGCCCATTCCATAATGCCATCATATCCACGATCGCGAGCATTATCAGGTACTTTGACATTATCATCTTGCGCATGTTCTTCCGACTTAGAATAGCTGTAGAAAATATATTCCCGAGTGTTCCAAGTATGAGAATTATGGGAGAAAAGTACTGCCATATTTTTACTGCTTCATTGGGTATACTTCTTGAAAATTCCAGTCTGTCCCTCAACACTGGGCGAATATTGTCTTCCCATCTAATTCCTAATATACTAGAATCTTCAGATGGTGTTGTATCAGTGAAGTATTCATTTTGAAAGCTGTTATTTAGAGGCAATGTTGTGTTCACCATTTCTTTTTTGTTGAATATTTATAAGCATAGTCATCGTTTGTTTGCCGGTTGTTTTCAACAGCAAGTTAAATTATTGAAATATGATCCTAATTATTCATGTATTTGATCAGTAGTTTTGTGGCAATTCTGATATTCCATTTGTAGGTAATTTATGAACCCATTAACATTTTCTCCATTAGCAAACATGGTCACCAAGTTCAAAACTGGATTTCTTGATGTCACGCAATGCTACAATGCACTTAAGGGATTTGTAGCCTTATTACAGAGTATTATGTTTTTTCATTAAAGATGTCAACATATTGATACCCTCTCAATCTTGTATATTGTGTCATCTTAAATTATTTATGAATAAAAAAATCATCCATAGACTATATCTAAGACAAAGATTAATAGATTTATCTGTTTTTGTTGGAAAGGGACTGAAGACAGTTGAGAACAAGTAGCATAATCCCCTATAAATCATTTGAGTCTTATAAATTCTTATAACACATGTAATATTTCTATTATTCAGTTTTGTTTATATGAGGGGATCGTAAGCTTTTTATGTCCCCACCACAGTGTGTGGGGCCATATTGTTAGCCAAGGCACGTCTGTCCGTCTGTCTGTCCCTCCATACATCTGGCACTTTTCTCCAAAACCGCTTCATATATACCTTCAGATATTCAGGGATAACTTATGAGTGCATACAGATGTGGACAGAAAAATTTCGACTCACTACCTACTTCCTGTCAGCCGTTTTGAAGTTAAATGCTAAAATCCTTTGCAAACTCACTTCATTCTACATTTTGATAGGTTTGGACCTGTTAGCTCAATCGTGGCAACCATTTTGAATGTCTTAATAAAGGTTAAAGAGTGATAAAACTTTGTATCAAAATGGTGTTTTTGTGTTTTCATAGTTTAACTATTTAGTAGCTCTATAATTAATAATTTTAAAAATAATTCCAGGTGTCCTGTGTTTTCGAAGCCTATGTTACTATTACATTAGTTGTATACAATAATTTTGTAAAAAGAAATCAGCAAAAACTCTATCAGGTGAACCGTTTGACAGATCAATTTCAAATTTTTAGTGATGATTCTCAGTATGAAAATCTAGAACTGATTAGTTTTTCCGCATTCTGGGAAAAAATTAAGGGTGCCATTTTGAATTTTCCATCCTGAAATTGTGTCTGTAATGTCTTGTCTACTTATTCTCAGGAAAACCGTTTGATTTCAAATTTTCAGGACTGATTAGTTTTTCAACATTATGGGTAAATGTTAAGGCAGCCATTTGGATTTTCCATCCTAAAATCTTGTCTATAAAGTCTTGTCTATGCATTTTCACGTTAACTGTTTGAGGGGTCAATTACAAATTTTCAGGGATGATTCTTAGTATTAAGGTTTTCAGCATTCTGGGTAGATATTAAGGTGGCCAATTTTCTGTCTTAAAATCGTCTCCGTTAAGTCTTGTGTAGATGTTTCACGTCAAACTAGTTGACAGATATTTAGATTTCAAGTTATCAGGAATGATTCTTTGTATGAAAATATCTAACTACTTCGTTTTTAGGCAGTCTGGATAAAAATTTTGGGCAGTCTGGATAAACTTCAAGGCAGCCACATTGGATTTTTGTCTTAAAATCTTGACTTTTTAACTGATTAGTGTCTAGCATTCAGGATGAAAAATTTGCAGAATATAGGATCACCCATCGAAAACTGTTCAGAATGATATTAGAGGACCTGAAAAAGCTCGCAAGTTTATCATTTTGGAGGTTAAATATTGTCAATAACCAAGTCAAATCTTATTGCTATTCTTATTTATATGCAAGCTTAGTCTATCTGGGGTTCATAAGAAAATTGATAAATAAGAGGTCATTATTCATTTATTTGTATGGGTATCAAAATTATAAGTAATTTGGTATCATTGATTGGAATGTCAGGGGTTAGTTTTTCTATGACGAGTTGCACTTAATTATAAATGTTCCTTTTCTAATATTTTTTTGAGTCTGGCACTTGTGCTCACATATTTTAAAATAAATTTGCAGAAATCTGGAGATATCTACAATATGTGCATATGCTTCTTAATTTGGCGGATTTAACAATTTGGCAGATCCGCCTTTAAACGGCTGCCAAATTAAGTAGAAGTACAGTACCATTTTCGCGTTAATTGCATGATTCAATTTCTACAGTTGTTCAGACTCTATGTCTAGGAGCATTAACCTTCATGTAGTAATCCAACAATCATGAGTATTCATCAGTGTATCATGACTGTATCGATTGACTAATGCGTTTTGAAAGTACATGTAAAAGCTTTTGAGATGCTAGATGCTATTATGCTTTTATTTAGGTTCGAGATAATAACAGTTTGAATATAGATGTCACACATGTATATACCTTGTACTTACAAGTCTACATTCTCAATGTTCAACATTACCTCTCTTGTTATATATCAGTAGAACTCTCCATTATTGAGATGTATTATCTGAACAAAATTCAAATTAGAATTTCCCTAATCCCCATCCATTAATTTTCAAAGAATTTCAGTGAAATACAGCATTTTTCTTTTTCTCCTGAAAAGCTAACTCAATTTACATATTACTCAATTCACTTTTGCTGTACATTTTAAAATCAATTCATTGATCTGCTCCAGCAATATATGAGTATGAAAATTTCACAAACCTAAAAACTACTTTTTGAGAAATTGGTACCTTAAAGTACATTTTTGAATTTTGGAACTTTATGAGGTATGATATACATAGAACCATAATATGTATGGAATACAACTGTTATGTACGGTCAGTTTCGGATCTAGAGTTTATCCCGCGGTCCCTCGGGAGATGCACACATTTCCCTTGGGATAAACCCTGTATCCAAAATCTCCCAGTACACAACCCTTATATATTGATCAATTCACTACCAAACACATCCATCCGCAGAACATAATCCCAAATATTTTACCATTGTCTGTTATGAACACATGTCTCCCAGTTATTCTAATCTGTGCGCTATATGTCTGCAAATTAGAGTAATCTATCCAAAGATGGTGCTGTTAGTGTTTTTTTATAGAACTACTTTCCTTTTTATATCACAAAATAAACAAACCAAGTTAGGAAAGTACACTCATCAAAATGCTAATTTCCATGTTCAGAGGTATTTAAAAAAACTCATCTGATTATAGATGTCAGGCTATGTGATCAAATTAGCTCAGTTGTATATTGACAGTTACTTAAACAAATTGTCAACCATCTATGTCATCTCAGTGATTGATGCCAACAAAGTATGTATTTTACAAAGACAAATATGTATCCTAATGTCAAAACATTAAATTTCTGCCACAGGAGGTCTTTGATTTATTTTTGTTATTGTACGTAGCTGCGTTTTGTAATACTCTTTTGTTCTTTTCCCTTTGGCATATGTATATTAAAATTCAGGTGTCCTGCAAGGGGGTAAAAACCAAAAAGTAAAACGGATGCCATCACCAAAGTAAAATTAGTGCTGAAATAAAAATCAAAATCTGATACACATATATTTTAATGGTTGCATGGAAAAACTGAATCGGGAAAATTGTTGCAATGGTTATTTGAGATCAAGGGAATATGTGTATATTTTATTGCCTCTATCACTTATTTTTGTTGCAGTTATATAGCAATTTTATCATTGTTAATCATATAAACAGAGGTGATAATAGGTATTTATCCATTTACATGTATTATGTTCATACATCAACTGTAACATTTATCATCATCTTGAATCAATCTTTCTATTCACATTATACCTATTGAAAAGATGTCTACTAGAACTAATATACAAATCGAATAATTTGATAGAGTTTTAATAATGCAATTGTTGATGTCAGTGTTCTCTTTCTTGAAATCTCCTTGTCTGAATAATAGAAAGACTCACTTATACATATATGTATACTAGGGGTCCCGCGATTCATCGATATATCGATGCATCGGCTCGTTTGGTGACGATACGAGCGTATCGATACGAAGACTCAAATATCGATACACCAAAAATATTATTAACATACCTGAAATCCATCATATTTTGCCGAAATCTACTGAATATTTGACTTTTTTGAGAAATTGTTTTTATATTTTTTGTTTGGCTTCTCGCTGGACATGACACGCCCAAAATGTTGTATAAATGCGAACAGAATGCTTAGCGGATTGACAGTCAAAATGCGAACAAATAACTCGTGTCTTCTATGTCTTCGTATATCAACGTACTTTGTTTTATAATTATTCTATATACTTTTTGACAATTTAGTATGAATAAATATAATCTTTGAACTTTTTATTCGATAGAACGCCGCGTCAAAAAATTGCTTACTAATATTGATAACTCTAATAAAAAAACGAACAATATTTACGTTCGGAGTATTAATGTTGACCGGAGTTTAGAAATTGAAACGTTTTGAAAGTATTGAAAACAATTGATAGAATAATGGCCGTGTAAATATCAAACATGGGTAGTTGTGATATCCTAATACGGCCCCTAATAGAAAATCTACTGTAGTACTTTGTATCACTTTGTATCACTTTGGGACCCCTAATGTATACATGTAATTAGAAACTAAAGCCTTGTTAATTATAACACAGATATGATAGAATATGAATAGTAGTTACTTATAAGTACTGCATACAGCAGTATACCAAACCCTGCGAACCCCCCCCCTGGCTACAGGCATGGCATGTTTGTGGAAAGGTGCAATTATTGTAATATCAGTTATATTTCGAAATTACCTTGTACAGTAAAACCTGTCTGAGTGAACACCTCCCTCTAGTGAACACCGATCTCTCAGCACAGCACATACTCCACTGACTTCTGTTTAAAATCTCTTCTCTGTAGAGAACCTATAGTGAACACATTTTTTGTGCATCCATGTGTTTACTGTACATAGGTTTTACTGTATTTGAAAATGGAGCATGTATACTACATTGACACTGTTAAGTTCTCAGACATCCCTATTTCAAGCACTTTCCAAGTGTTTTGCCAATTTTGACCCCCCTGAAATTTTTAAAAACTGAACACCCCTTTGCAAAAGCTGGCCTGCATCGTATGGTTATCATGAAAGCAGATAAAACACTTTTTATTTGAGACTTATGCAACATATATACAACAGTTTATACATATGTACATGTATATCAAAAGTAATTCCCACAATTACATAAGGTATGGACGTTTTTCAATAACTTCGTATTAGATCGTAAGAGGCTCCTGACGAATTTCTTGTGGAAGGTAATGAAAACTGGATAGTCGGATTTTAGTTTTGATTTCAGATTGAAATCTTGAGAAAATCTCCTATCACTTTGATATCTTTAACAATGAATTTGAAGACTTTTTTTATGGTGGTGGTGACATATTGATATGGTCTCCATCTTTTTTGTGACAGCATCCTACGTTCAGCATCTGTAACAAATGGTAGGTTGTGACATTTGGCATGTTTATGCCTTGTTTAGAATATTTTTCTGTCAGAGAAACAGGCCTTTTATAAAGACTTTCTCAACAAGTTTTATTTATTTTATTCATTTCCTGGTATTGCCCCTTCTGTTATGTTCTGGCCAGGGCACTGTCAATATTTATAGAAGTTCCAACTCTGACATTTAATCAGCATTCAATACACTTTTGTCTATCAAATGAACTCCCATTGATTTTTGGACATCTTATACTGCAGGATTACATTAGATCATGATTACGAGCTGATATCAAACACATAATATGGATTTGATCATTCGATTCATTAGTTTGTGTATTTAAGAACTTTTTATATTGTTGTTAAGTGCCTCGTATATCAATTAGGATGGTCAATTAATGATTTACATCATTGTGGTTACGTATTTGTTGATATTTAGCGTATTTGTAAACGGAAACTATTTGGAAACAAAGGGGTTACCATAAGCAACACATACTTGTTAAAGTGCCAGTAGCACCAGTAAAATTCGAACATAAAATATTTTTGCGAAAATTTTTATTTGATATTACCATGTTATGTAGAACATCTAGAAAAGTAAATATTAATAGAAACTAATTTTATGATTCGATCTGTGTCAAGCACAACGACTTGTGATAAAATATGAAACCAAAAATCATATCCATTTTTTGAAAGCTATGATCTTATAATAACCATATTTTCTTTATTCAATGTCTGGATTAATAAAAAATCGAAATGGTAGACAATTATGGTAAATGCTTAAAAAAGGCAGAAGCTCCCTGGAATTTCATGTTGTAAAACATTCTGCTTCATTTTCCAACTTGCACTTGAATTTTTGTACCTTTACAGAGCAAAGTTTGCATCAATGTCACAAAATAAGCAGAATTGGAATTGAAGAGTTTCAACAAGGAAATGAGATTGATGGCCTGGTGGATTAGGAGATTTAACACTTACTTTGATTTTTCTAGATAGCTCTTTTCACAAGTTCTTCAGTCATCCATTATCTTTCATTTCCATTGTTATTTGTGATGTCGTGTAGGTATTGATTAGGGTCTAATATCAGCAATAATGGTGGTATATCCATTGACTTATGTCAACAAGTTCTTCTTGTGATGTCACAGATTTTTGTATAATCAGAATTTATTATCTGTCATTAAATTATGATTTATATTTTTTTACACTCTTAACCTTTAGCGTGCTGCCGGCGGACTCGTCCGCCGAGACTAAAATGTCTCTCACAACTGCCGGCGGACCCGTACGCCCGATTTCAAACTTTTAAAAACTTTACTTTTTCGCGCCATTCGTATTGTCCAATTAGATTGCCCGATTTATTCAGTGCCTAACATGACTTCCTGTTGACCTAGAATGGCGATATTTCGAAAAATAATTCTCAATTCAACAATTTAAACAGTGTTTTAGTCGTTTTTAGTGAACGAATCGTACAAAATGGTGGACAAATACGATCACAACGAAAATGTGGAGGAAATGAATTACGATTTCGAGCTCTTTAGGCTCTTGGAAGCCGATAACGGTCATCGAAAATAGAAATTAGAATATTTTCTGAATTGAAAAATTGAACATTCGATCGCTGCAAATTCAGATTTGGATTCTGACCAGACGAAGAGGCGGAGCGGCGGATTCCGGAGGAGTATTCATGGTATATTTATGCCCAGTCGTGTTAATGTACGAAAAAATTCACGAGAACATTTTTTTCATGAGCCAGGCCACTGTATCTTCCCTTTGTGAAAATTTTATCCAGATTCATTCAGTAGTTATTGAGATATTAATTATTATATCATTTTTTGCACTCTTTGAAAAATAAGCCAGATGCGTGGGATATATTTGCTGAAATAAGGCAGCATGGTAAAGGTTAAAGATGGTTCACGGGAACATGACCATGGGGCCTCACTTCACCAAAATCTTCACATATATTACAAAATAATTATTTCTTTGTGATACTAGCACTTTAAAAGAATACAATAACTTGATACTCTTTATAAATAATATATCAAGCAGGATTACCCAGGGATATTAGTGAATATGTTGCATCTTTAGGGCAACAGTGAGTGACATAATATTTTGATTACAAACAGGAGAAAGTTCCAACTACTTTTACTTATGTAAATTGAAGTGTTTCAGGAGTGAGGACCACACATTTATTAAACAGACACTGAGAAAAGAAACATTTAAGAAAACTACTGGTCTTAAGATAGTCAGCAACGATATCATCAAGTTAATTAAAAATCAACTAAAATGAATGTGTCTGATCCATCATATAATTTGGTTGATCAACGAATATGGAATATATGTACGCCAATTGTTTTGGTTTTTGGAACTATTGGGAATGTGCTGTCTATAGTGGTTTTTGGGAGTAAGAAGATGCGCTCTAAGACGATGTCTCTCTACCTGATCTCACTCGCTGTAGTTGATATACTCGCATTATGGTTTGGACTATTTACCAAGTGGGTACCACACATCGAAACGACACCTCCTATTACTGTTCGTGCTCTAAATGGATTTAGCTGCAAATTGATAACATTTATGGTATACACGAATGGACATGTTACCTCATGGATCCTGGTCTTTGTGACTTATGAACGATTCATATCCGTTTTTTTCCCTTTGAAAGCCAAAGCTCTATTCAAGATAAAGTCAACTCTAATAATAATAGCTATGTTATTCACAGTGTTCATCTCTCTTAACCTTCATATTTTCTGGATGGTTGACGTCATCGAGAATAACATCACCAATGAACGGGATTGTCGATATACCGAAGACCACAAAGAATACTGGACCAAAAGGAGAGGCTTTATTGATCTGATTTTGGGTTCATTTATACCTTTTATTTTGATGCTTATCGCAAGTATTGCTATCATATCAAAGCTTGCAACTAGAAAAATTGGAGCAATGAATAACAAGAATATTGCAGCTATGACCATAACATTATTGCTATGTAACTTTTTCTTTATGCTGACCACAGCTCCAATTGTCTTATTTTTGGTACTGAATAACTCATGGTATCCACAACAAGGTGAAATTGGTCATCCAGATTACTATGCGTACCAAATACATTATACCATTTGTGACATGATATTCTATATTAATCATAGCGCAAATTTTGTTCTTTATTGTATTTCTGGACCAATCTTCAGAAAGCAAATTAAGAGTATGTTCATGCAGATGAAATGTTTTGGACGAAATAACAAAGTTGGTGGAAAGTCAATGACAAATGGGGACTCCACACAAGTAGGAAACAGCTCAAGCACATAGAAACTAACTATAATCATACTTCAAGAAACATTCTCAGTTTACAAATACATAGGGAGAATTGAGAACTATGCGCAATTAGGAAACAGCTCAAGCACATAGAAACTATAATCATACTTCAAAAACATTCTCTGTTTACAAAGTGTACATAGGGAGAATTGAGAACTCTGCGCAATAAGGGAAGACTTCAAGCACAGAGAAACCATAATCATATTGCAGAAAACATTCTCAGTTTACAAAGTGTACATAGGGAGAATTGAGAACTATGCGCAATAAGGGAAGACTTGAAGCACAGAGAAACTATAATCATATTGCAGAAAACATTCTCAGTTTACAAAGTGTACATAGGGAGAATTGAGAACTATGCGCAATAAGGGAAGACTTCAAGCGCAGAGAAACTATAATCATATTGCAGAAAACATTCTCAGTTTACAAAATGTACATATGGAGAACTGGGGACTCTCTGTAAACAGGAAACAACTCAAGCACATAAAAAACTATAATCACACTACAGAACACATTCTCAGTTTACAAAGTATATTTTTGAAGGCTTCTGTTTGTATTGTTGTCAGAGATGGACTTGTGTTTATGTTTATTTAAGTCTATTGTGTTACATATACCTGTAAAATGTTCATTGTTTCGTGTGTTATTCGATACCTATTAAAACGATTAATCTCTTAAAGCAATGTTTGACCAGGTTCTCCATGTCCATATCACTATTTAGATAGATAGTGCTTTTATAAGACTGTTTCAATATGGACAGAAGAATTGTCCAATATTGCTTAATCATTTAGTAGTTACACTTTTGTATTTAGATACTTTATTTGTTTATTTATTGACTGAAATGCCAATAGATATGTATATCAATTCAGCTACCTCAACTCTTGGAACAGCCTTTGAAAAATATCTCATTATAATTTCTGTATTTTTATTGCATACATTAAATTAGAAATTGTGTTGCCTTTTTATTTAAATATATCATCATTTAATATATTATGAAATAGTATGTTCTGTCATTTTTGAGCATGTGCTGCTTACCCAGAATGCTAAGCACGAAAAATAAAAAATAATGGTAGACTTAACTGGAAAGAATGGTAAAAAAATGAAATTGATATACTGTACATGTACATTTCTTCAGATTCATTTTGGCATAATTAACTTAAGATAGTGCACTTATCAGTTTAGCTGAAATAATTAATAAGCAACTAAATCTATTCATTAACAAAAATACCAAATGAGATATCAGAAAATATACAATCCCTTCCCTCCGACAAAATATATCTAAAAATGATATATCACCAGATGCATTTCTATCGACTTACCAATGTTGGGGCTTCAGACAATTCGTTAACGGTATCAATTTGATGATTGTTCTCAGCCATAATTTCACCCTGCATCAATGGTAATTCGACAAATGTTCGAAATAAAATTGAAATAACCCGCTTCAATTTGCTCCAATCTGTGATTGGCGCATCGGACTTCTTCTCACCCTATCTTTTGTCCAAAAGATTGGGATTCGATTCCCTGCGTGGGCAATCTTTTTTCTTTTTTTTTATCACAACACTTTTTTCCTTTGGGAATGTTATTTTAATAACTTAAAATAGTTTAACAATATAAATTAATCTAAAAAAATTGTATGTTGTTTTATACTTATTGTGTTCTAGACATTTGGTTGTTCTTGGGTTGTCCTGTTGATTTTCTCAATATATTAGTAAAACTGTGCTCATGATTTGGTCTCAAAATATATCTAAGGTATATATGATGTTATATGAGCAGTTATATTAGGACATTACTGGTTGTCCGAGAGAAAAATCCGGACGATCTGATCCCTTTAATTATTATTGAAAAATCCCTCTTCGGAAAGTATTTTTCACCAGGTGTGTCCCCATATTTTTAAAATCAAATTATGATTATCCCCATATTTTTCATGATTTTGGCTCACACAGTGAGCCTATGGGATCGACCAGGCGTCCGTCTGTTGGTCCGTCCGTTGGTCCGTCCGTTGGTCCGTCCGTATGCCCAGTCACAAGCCTGAGGAACCTGCTTTTATATCTAATGTGGATTTTTATCTTACCAATCATGACTTAAATATTAATATGGGTATTTCCTATAATTAATATATACTGGATTTTAACTTACCAAATATGACTTCAATATTAATATGGGTTTAAACCTATAATGTATTAAATACTGGATATGACAAGTAAATAAAATCAATTATAATCTACCTATATGATGTAGATATCCAAATGTTGGTCTGAATTTATCTTTGTGGAAAGATTGTATGCTTCAGTTGCTCTTTAACAAAACATGTGGGACAGTGTATCTATATATTACAAGACGTCCGTTGGTCCATCCGTCCGTTGGTCCGTCCGTCCGTCCGTTTGGTCCGTCCGTCCGTTTGGTCCGTCTGTCCATCCGTCCGTTGGTCCGTCCGTCAACATTGGCTGCACAAATTTAAAACTGCTATTCGGATTTAGTCATATCCACAGTAATTTTATGCATATCCATAATGCCTATTTGACCTATCATCGCCATTTCCCAAGTTCTCCCGGTTTCCGAGAAATTGCTGATTTTGACGTCAAAAAGTCAAATTTTCTGTAAATACTAGACACTTTGTTGAAGTAGAACTTTCAAATAACTTGTAGTAGTTGCTGTATATGCAACTTATGTCCTCTGAAGATTTCAAAGCTCTTCGAATTACAGTTTTTGGTGTTTACTCTATAAAATTTGACAAAAAGTAGGACCGTCATTTTCAGGAAACTTTCTCATGTATAAAGTCAATGGCAGGTTTTGTGATTGACAAGTTTCTCAAAGTTTGCCTTATACTTGATCATTTCTCGCAATGAATTACATCATAACTAGATTTAAGCATTCCCTACATATTGCTCAATATATGTCAGCATCAAATTTTTACCGTTTTTGAGATATTTGACGTCAAAAAACAGAAAAAATAAGTTATTTTTCAACTTGCTTCAATTTGACCAAATTTTTTTGTTGAAAATCATCTAAAAGTTACCAGGAGTTCAAATCTGAAATTAGTTTTAGGATTTGACCTTTACTTGACCTTCAGTGACCTTTGAAAGGTCAAAAAAGTTGATTTTTGGATGTAAATTTTGGTCAGCTTAATCACAAAAGACCTTACTGAGCTCTAAATAAGTTAAATTTTCAAGGTTAAAGGTCATCAAACTAGGTCACACAACTGTGCTGTCTAAGTTTCTCAAAGTTCGAGACTTCAAATCCAAATCAATGTTTTTGTTTGAAAGTCAGGATATATATTCCTCTGAAGGTTCCAAATTGTGTGAGCACAGGACCGTGGGCCCTATTTTTGAATTCCTTCAAAAATGAATTTTCTTTTTTCCATGAATTTCAAGTTCTTATAAAATGAACAAAAGCGAGGGTAGCTGGAATTTTATTGATTGTTCTCCCAGTATTCTGATTGGTTAAGGCTAGATCAAAGGATATCTCAAAAGGTGTAGATGAAGCCCTCTTAAAGGAAGCAAAATCAAACTATTGGGGAGTTAAAACATATCAAATTGTTATTTTCCTTGAGATTATTTACAGAGTTGAAACCTATCAAATCTTAATTGTCTTAGTATATTTACACATTTTGATCAATATCTATGGATCAACATACTATATCTGCTCGTAATATCTTTTCATGGAACAGATGAATGAGTAAATAATGATGTAACACTTAACTTAACACTTAAGAATATTCATCCACATTGAAGGACATAGTCTGTTAAAGTTCTACTCAAACCATTTTACTTGATTTAGATATATTTATGCTATCTTGCCGTATGAAGGCCACACTTTATGCCCTGGTCACATTTGCTCCGATTTTCGCTACGGTGCCCGTCCGATTGAGTATTTTGTTCAAAGTTGAATACGATATTGAACAAAACATTCAGTCGGCCGGGTGTCGGCCGATGGATCGGAGCAAATGTGACCCAGGCATTACGATGGTGAACCATCATCACTTCCAAAAGTTCATTTTATCATGATATTAGGAATCTAAAGTCAGCATGTGTCTGTTTTTGCGTCAAAACTGATTTCATTTTCTGAGCAGAAATTTTACGTCACGTGACATGACGTGTGTGGCTGAATGGTCAAGTATGCAAAAATAACAATATTTTAGAGGTTGACAGTCTTATCTTAATAAATCGTGTTGTGTGGGGAAATATCACAAGCTTTGAAGTCAAAATAACAAAAGGGGTGCTATTTGTGCTAAAAACAAGATAATAAGAGATTCTTAAATTGGTTTTAGTACAACTTTAAGAATATTCGTCCACATTGAACAACATAGTCTGTTAATGAATTGATTAGTTATATGAGCACTATTATGCCTGACAATATGTTACCTTGAGTGTTAGCGGCCACTAAAGAGAATCTGAAGAAAAAAAATATAGTGGCTGTTTATACTGATAGATTTAAATGACCACAAAAGTAGCTGCCATGGTCGTTAATGGAATGAATTGGTCAATGTACTTTGATTATATATATCTTTTATTGACTCTTTAGATGTCATATCATGACATATTAGTCACTAAGGTAGAGCAGTTCTTCCCATTGTCGAGTTGAAGAACTGGTATCTTTATCCTGGCTAGAACCATAGACAATTCCAGCCAGCGCCAGCCTTTTATCGAGTTAGCAGCACTCTAGTAATCGCCGGTATAGGTCAGCAGTCATAGGTCAAAGACAAATCACAAGAAGTGCTGTGACCTGGGTTTGAACCCAAGACCTCTACTTTTCAGCCTGAAGCCAGACTTCCTGCTTTTCGGACCAATGCCTTAACCACTAGGCCAACCCGGCGGCCACAAAATTTACAATATACAATATTGCTATTTTCCAATAATAATTGATGTTCAAATGTTTTTATTACTTTGTTTTATATGAAAGCATCAAAGTATACCAGAAGAATATTGTGTCCTATATTTGGGTAATATCAATGATATCCCCATCGTCGGTTCCCACGCTCAATCACTACGTTCTATCCTGTGGGTTCATATGACAAACTTGAGACCCAAGTAATATGTAGCGTCTCATTAGTAGAAATGCTTCACGGAGTGCGCGGGATAGTCCGTGCGCCAATCACAGTTGAGGAAATTATTTAAATTGGGCCCCTGAATCGGCATTCAGAAAAATAAAATGGAGGCACTGTTAGAAAAATTTGCGGCAAATTTCGTCTGAATTCTTTAAAACCCTATCAAAAAGCAGCGATCGAGGTGATAACGGAAGGCAGGGATGTATTCATGTCCCAGAAAACTGGACAGGGAAAGAGTTTGATGTATCAAAGTTTGATAGAAGTCAGTTATTTCACGGGCAAAATTTCAAACCAGATTATCATCATCGTGGA